CATACACACACACACACACACGCACATACACACACACACACACACACACACACACACACACACACACACAGAAGCCAAGTCAGAAAGTCAGTTTTATAAAGTTAAAGGATAAAATTAAAGTTTATTTATAAAATGCTTTGTACAATATAGATACAATATAAACATAAATGCAAGGGGGTAAAAATAACTTTTCTAAAAAAAAAAAAAGTTTTGATTACTAAGTGAACAGATGGTATCTAAGTGTTTTGCAGACTTGGTCTAAAGATTAGGTATACGAGTGAATGGTTTCACTGAGTGCGCCTCCAGAAAAAAAATGTAATTGTAAAGTAGAAATATAATTTTCTGTGAAGCTGCTTTGAAATATGTATTGTGAAAAACACTATAAAAATGAATGTGAATTGAATTTAATGTAACGGCTTACCTGAGGGCACTTTGCCCAGAAAGGCTCAAAAGCCGCTGTTGTAAAGTGTTCAGTAACATGTGAATGTATATGCGCTGCTAACGCTAACCGAGCCGTCTGAGGACCCAACAGGATTTTGGAGGCTCTATGATTTTCTTGGCTTTGACAAAGCTATTTAGCACAATGATCCTCCACTGGACGTCAACTGAGCAGAAATCCCTAGAAACGAGCAAGAAGATACTCAAATCCTACACAGCAGGCTGTAAATCCTGCAGTACAACCCTTCTTTTCACAGATTTCAGACGGAAGAATCCAGTGTAACATGTTCATCTGTGCTGCCGTGTTGTTTGAGCATCACAGGACAGTGTTCTTTCTGAAAACAGTTTGAGATGCATAGTGAAACACTATCAATAAATGCTCCAGATTGCACTGAGCAAAACATTCAGTGACCGCCAGGAGAACACCGAAACCTGACGTACTTCTGATCACAGGCCGCCTGACCGCTTCATTGGCTTGCCATGTCAAATAACTGCTCCGCTGATCAAGCTGTGCTCAGCATAAAGCTGTCGATAGTCAGTCAACACACGTGACTTCATTCCCTGTGCAAATGAATAAAGGCGGCATGGAATCGAACCTCAACTCTAGCTTTGTATCTTGGCTCTACAAAGATGGAATGAAACACGTAATGCTATTTTTTTTTTTTTAAATATGGTTTCAGTGTTGCTGCTGCTGAGATCCAGAACATCTGCTCCAATGTAGGCAGCATTTTAAGGCATCATAATTGTAAGCAGTATTCAAAGATGCTTTATTTTGGCCAAATTCCAAGGCAGCATCCCATATGTTCTTTGTAGAGAAGTAAATCCCATACTGCATTGCGACAAGCTCAGTAAAAACATCCTTCCAAGACTGTGGAGAGAAATGTCAAATATAAATATAGTTCATTTAATACTGAAAAGCACTGATTAAAAACGATAGAAAATGGTCTAGTTTACCCAGTATTTTGTTTGCTGTGTGTTATTGCTTATCTTACAGCAAAGTATTGAAATCAATTGTGAGCGGAGTCTCCTGTACGCTTTGTGTAACGAGTGCCATTTCATAAGTAAAAATTCAAACTCCAGGCTAATATACAGTATCTCACAGAAGGGAGTACACCCCTCACATTTTTGTAAATATTTTATTATATCTTTTCATGTTACATTGTAGCAAAGTGTCATTTCTTCAGTGTTGTTACATGAAAAGATATAAAATATTTACAAAAATGTGAGGGGTGTACTCACTTCTGTGAGATACTGTATATCACAAACATGGAATTGATAGGCTGTCTGTGCGTGTGTGTGCACGTGCGTGTGTGTGTTTGACTAAATGTGTCATGTTTATGACATAAAAATCACATGCGTTTATGTATTTTGAATGGACTACGGGATGATCACAGAATGGCAGATCAGAATCAGATCAGTATGTTTGCTCTGACGAGCCGTGTGAATGTGCAATAGCAGCTCTTTACAGCCTCCAGCATCTCTAATACACAGAAGAACAGCCTCATCCTGATGCTGGTGTCCATGATCTAGACAAAGAGGGTGCTTAAGAAAGAAGAACTTAAGGAAGCAGAGCCAGGACTGAGTGCATCTGTGCCTGCGCTCAGCTAACGGCTTGGTGTGCCTCCGTATAAATATTGCAGTCAGGCAGCATTGAGCTCAAGCAGCTGCGTCCCTGTATCTGCGGCACGCCGGCCCCGGGGAACACTGACCCAAATCAGCAAGACAAACACGCTTCACACCTGCATAAACGAGTTAGCGGCCGCTAATGATGACACAGTGTCCGCTAACGAGACAGGAGAGTGTAGAAAGCAGAGTCTGTGTGAACCGCATGAATGAAGGGATGAAGGAAGTGAGAGAGAGGAAGAGAGAAACAGAAGAACAGGTGTGTGAGCAGCAGGGTGCTGGAGAGACAAGATGCCGCCTAGGAACAGATCCAGACCACCTGCATCCTCACACACCGGCTGAGAGTCGAACCATACTCCCATACTCAGAGCATCACTGACGTCAAACAATCCAGCCATGTGTCCACCATAGAAGTGTATTTCTATAGAACGATCTAAATCCTTTAGACTTGAGAGAGAAACATGAAGCAATTCAAACCAAATGCTTCAGATGAGGCTCATCAGATCAGAATCTAGCTTTAGCTGTTAATTGGTTTTAACTCGTGTTTAAAAATGTAAAACTGTTTTTGCTGTCATTCGTTTGCTTTGAATCATTACATCTGACCTTTTTGCTCATGAGATTTCAAATAAAATGAAATAATCAAATGAAACGAAGCATCTTTCATTTTCATTTGCAATGAGATAAAATTACAAATCAAAAAAGTATTGTCAAAATCCAGAAATAACCCTGCTGTCTATATACAGCGTTCTGTTTTATTTAGTGTCCAAACATGTTTACATGAAAACTGCCTACTTTTGTTCACATGGTCTTCAGGTTAATAATAGTTAAGTGATGGTTCAAATAGATTTTCAGTCATCTAGGTTATTGTAGCAAACTTTTATACAATTTTTTTTTGCCAGGACGAGTTATTTGTGCTTTTTGTTTATTGAAGATGTTGCGCTATTTCACATCCTATTGGCTCGCTCACTAACTGTGTTCACAGACCGTATCATTATTTGACCTGTGACTCTCTGATGCTGCGAATGGTGATTGCGGTGTGAAATGACTCTTGGTTACAGATGAAAGGACAGTGATGTAGTGTTTGAGCCGTTACATATCTGTGATGACAAACAAACACATAATGAAGCAGCAGCGGAGACCGAGAATAAACTCACATCACCAACACACGTCCAAAGATACAGTCTGATCTGAAATTATTTGATTGCTTTATCATTTATAAACACAACACAATCAGAAAGCACATGAGAGAAAGTCATTGAGGGTTGGGTCGGGTGGATCAGGGCCGTTTTTGGGTCATAAATGGGTGCCTGACAAAAGAATGTGCAATGATTGACCCACGTTCACTGATTCTGTAAAACTATTTAAAAGTCTAAACTTCAGTATGAGGTGCCTTAAACTATGTACATAGTTCCATAAATTAAGCATTTGATACAGTGTGCTAATTGTGTACACATGTTGTTCTTGAGAATTTTTGTGAGATGGGCTTTGCTCCAGTTGAGTTTGGATACACGTAAGGTTGAGATTAGATTCATAGCCAGGATCAAGAGTGTGATTATCTGAGTTCAGAAACTGTGAAGTGATCAGAGCGTAATTCACCAGCATCTCACACACATACCTTTTAACATTAATGAAAAGACAGACACAGGTTTGGACTCAGACTCATTTCCATCCAAACACTCTGACTAGTTGACATTACAGCAGCACATTTGGCCTTTATATGTGTAGGACATTTCTTGCATGAACCTCACATTAACATTTACATATATTAAGCAACTTACAATAACGCAGCTTAAGAAATTAATTGCAGAGCCAACAGTATTGAGGTTACAGCACAGGCGAACCTCAATCATCTTATTCCTGCGTCTTATTTTGGCCTCGGCGTCAGATGGTGGCGTGATCAGTTAAAGAAGGTGATTTCTTCATTACTCGGCTGGTGAATATAATGATTTTAGCATAATTGCTGGCTTCCAGTTTCAGTTCTTATTTAATAATCTCTAGCAAATCAGAACTCATTACAGTCAAAGGGAATTCTCTCTCTCTCTCTCTCTCTCTCTCTCTCTCTCTCTCTCTGCTGGATGAAGCAGTTTAGAGTCAAGTTTCAATTTGAACTAATTTTGATGATATATGAGAAGAACTTGATTGACATCTGACATCTTAAAGAACTGAAACAGACCCTTTTCAAAACAGATTTTAAAGACGACAACAGATATTGTGTCACCACGGTGTTCTGCAGCACTTTACATCCGCTGTACTGACAGACTGCGTTTTAATGAGCCAGAGCAATGTTTTATACATACAAGCACATCTCTCTCTTAGTGAGGAACAGAACATGCCCTATTTAATCATTAGAAATGTCAAATTCTGGATTAGTGGCACTAAAACGAATACATGTCGATAGTATAATAAATGTTTGTGTGTACGAGCCTGTCAGTGTGTAGTTTTGAGTCTCTCCTTCAGCTCGGTGTTGTTCTCTCTCTCAGCTGGGCGGCTGTGGGATTCTGGGAGTGGGAGTTTGGCTTTCCATCACGCAGGGAAACTTCGCCACACTCTCCTCGTCTCTACCGTCGCTCTCTGCCGCCAATCTGCTCATCGCTGTCGGCAGCATCATCATGCTGATTGGCTGTCTGGGCTGTGTGGGCGCGGTCAAACAGAACCGGCCGTTACTCCTGAGCGTAAGTAAACCAAACACGCTAGCATGCTTAACTAGGAAGGAGCAGACTAAACACCGTTTGAGTCAGTACAGTACATATGAGATCATAAATAACAAACTACACATTGTGCGAATCAGAAGCATAAGAAATACTGTTTCATCTTGAAGTGACGTGTTTGTTTGACGTTATTCATTTGAACCACAATTTTACTTTCTGCTCATAGTTCAGATAATAAGATGTGGCACTTGAGTGGCAATATTGACGTTGATTAGAGTTTGATGGCTGCTGTAATAGAGACACTAGCAGGAATTCATATTTGCACCCGCGGGTAAAGCTTATTAGCATCATTTCACTCCACGAGGAACAGGTGAACATGAACACGTCCGTGAGGATTCAACCCAGCGTTTCTGCTGTGAGCTGAGAGGACAGCAAGATTATTTACAAAAGCTAATTGCCATCATCTCTTGGTGTTTATAAGGATTAATAAGAAAAATAGAAAGGTAACAATTTCTACCAGCGTGCATGTCAGCATAGTATTATAAGCTATAGTATTTAGATCATTCAAACATGACCGTACTGAATGCATGTCATCATTCGCTGTTACACTGGGAACAAAGTGGAAATGTCATAAAACAACAGCAGAAGTCATCACATAATAAAAAGGCCTCAACTAAACCGTAACGGTTGGTTCTGGTGCTTGGATCTGATTGGACGAGAGGCACCGCTGAGTGCTGATATTCCCAGCTCACAAACACCAACTTCTCAGGAGAACGTGAAGCCTAACCAAAGGAATGTGGGAAAAGACATTAGCAGAGATACTTCAGGAAGTCAAAAAGAGACAAGCCGTTTTGATTACATTATTTATTTATTTTCAATCTGTAAATAATACATGTCAAAAGATGTTATCCACAATAATTATATTTTATGAATGATGGTTCAAGATGTTTCTGGAGTCTCTGCAGCCCTGCACACTTCAGATGTCTCCCTCATTTAACTCTGAATATCTTCATTGACTCATCAGATTAGTAGTTAGAGTTAGACAATAGGAGAGACATCCATGTGCAGCGCTGAGGACGCTCCAGGAACGCTTGGAAAGCCCTGGTTTCAAACAGTACCTCCATGGTTTTGTGAGGTGATATTCAAATCTTTATGGTAATTCTCTGACTCCAGTATCTTCTAAAAGCGCAGTGGATGGTTCTGGAGGACAGAGAGACCTACATTCTGTATGGGAGCGTCCCGTGACAGATGCAGATATCGGCCCGTCGTAACCTCAGAGGGGCTGCGCTGGATTGTTTTATTTGAGTTGTACGCATACTAAAAATCCTGAAGGGCAAAGCAGCCTTTCTCAAGGATAAACAATCTTTATCCGTCTACAGTCCGTCGGTCTGATCATGTGATATCATGAACAATCCCAGCAGATCCGTGATTCATTTCACACTGTATGTTTAATTCAGTCAGTGCCATTCAGTTATCATCTCAAAAGAAATCCAGATATTTTGCTCTTGTAATCCAGTAAAAATGTCTTTGCCAGTCCTATCAAATAATGAGTCGAACGGAGCTCACAGCTGATTTCACATCCAGGTCATTCCTCAGTTTGAATAGGGAACGTAAAGCGAGTTGAACACCATATAGTCCTGACATGGAAAGAACAGTACAGTACAAGATACTAAACACAGCCCTTTGATTTTAAGGTTTGGAATTTGTTTGTGGATTTTCATCTTTGTCTGAAAGAAGCTCTACCTGCATATCCCACAATCATTAACATTATTTAACATTAGTCCTTGAGCAAACTGCAGGGCTCAGGCCAGGTCGGCTTTATTCCGTCGGTGCCCGAGGGCTAAACACCGCTGTCCCTATTTATTATTTATAATGAGGAGCCATGCGCAAATGATACATAACTGCAGACTGCCTTTTTTCCCTAATGTTATCTATTTATTCCTATAGTGAAAGTGAAAATAAATTATGGATTTTAATATTTTTTAGAAAGAAAAACCATGCATAAAAGTTCTTGTATGTCTTTAAGATTACTTAAATTAAATACCTAATTCAATACACTGAGATTATAATGTTTAGCCCTAATTGCTGATGTTGATTTAGTCACGTTCTCCGCTCCTCTGCTCTGTGAGTCTATGAATATATAATGCTGTTCACCTCCGAGACTATCATAGCCTGAAGATGATTTATGATGTCCACATGGGGGATGATGTTGATGTCAGACGGCCTGTGCTCTCCTGTGTGTGTTTAGCGCTGTGATTACAGCAGCCTTATGATAACACCCAGTCACACAGACACATCTTTATTCCCCACAGACAAGACCACGAGGAGTTAAAGACGACATACCATAAAATACATTTGGGACTTTTCCACTGAATATTTTTTTCTTCCCAATGCTGATAATAGTGACCATTGGATGTTTTTGTAGACATTTACATAAATGTCTAATTGGAAACTGCTTCAATAACACTGCTCCAAAACAAGATCGTATCAGTTTATGACAAACACTCTTCTGTGAACACTCTCACACTCAGCCGTTCACATTATACACAGACAGCGCATCTGACATCCAAAATAACGGCCAAGAATTTGCTTTTTCTAACAAATTGTGGTGTGCTTTGTTGATATTTTGGAGATCATTTATTAAGATGTGCAGATAAACACATACATATGTTAAAGAGGCTTTTACGTAGAGTCGCTGCACTAAATGTTAGCCCAAATGTTTAATTAAGATTATTTATATGTCTTTTATACATTTTTAGCCAATTTTTGCCAAATCAGTTTTATTTTCTCACAACACACAGTACAGTATGATACAGTAATACATAACTTATACAGTATGATATATCTTGTGTGCAAACCAAATGCAGCTGTGACCAGGAGAAAAACTACATTTGATGTAAAATAACGGAGAATGAACTTTAGACACCAGAGATGACCATCCTGTGGTCTTCTGACAACAACAGCCAATCGCTTCGCCTGATCTGAACGGGCCAAAGAACAGACGGCGGTCAGCTAACAGAAACTGAATTATTTAGGAAACCAAGGGGTCTCTGAAACAGAAAAAGTTCTGTCAGGACCACTATCGTCAAAGATGATTGACAATTATAGACTTAAGAAAAACATGTTCCAATTCAACTACAGCTTTCAGAACAAGCATGTTCGGAATAATGACTGGATTGCTCTGGAACAAGCATGTTCCCAACAATACAGCTATAACTTAAGAACAAGCATGTTCCCAATAACAACCAGATAGCTCTGGGACAAGCATGTTCCCCAGTTTCAGGAGTTACCTTCATGAACAAACGCTGCCTGCTTAGTCAGTAGCTGATTTTCTGAGGTTTCCGGATGCAGACGATTCAACTGAACAATGACCGTTTACCAATTTCTCTTGGAGCTTGTTCAAAAAACACTGATGAAAGCATATAAGCCCCCACTTAATTGGTATTTAAATAGCATATGTTAATGTTTAACTTGTTCATGAACAGATGGCGCTGTATTAAGCAGTATAAGAAGAGTTTCGTTGCTTTATGAAAACATTCTGAATCTCGCTCTCGCTCGGGTCGCTGAGTGCGCGCACGCACATAAGAATCCAACTCTTAATTAAGTGTAAATAGCTCAGAATGCATGAAATGACATTACCCCCGTTAAGCGCAGCATATTGCAACGACAGCGTGTTGCCAGTGACAACAGATAAGTACCGCACATGCATGAACTAGCACAAGCATTTAACTGAAAACAACTTAATGAGCCCAAGCAACACAGATAGCCTTAGCAACACGCATGTTGCAGATAACTTGAGAGCATTAAATGGAACTTAGCTTGTGAAGACATTCGCATGAACTAGCACAAGCATTTAACTGAAAACAACTTAATGAGCCCAAGCTACACGGATAGCCTTAGCAACACGCATGTTGCAGATAACCTGAGAGCATTAAATGGAACTTAGCTCGTGAAGACGTTCGAGAGAGTGAAACATAGCAGCTGTGAAGTGGCTGCTTGATCTCTTGATATCCTTCTTGGGGATGAAGTTCCCATCTGCCTTGTTCATGAGTCAGTCACATAACTTGTGGAGTTCATGACAAGAATGTAGAGATGGTTTTGCCTTCCGAATTCGCCATTTAATTAGCTATCGAGCAATGCGAAAACTGCTGATACTACTGCGGGACCTTATATATGAATACTTAGATAGGTGTTGTATTCCCATAGGTTGATGGGGATCAGCTGAGAGTCAGCTGATGCGAGCTTGACTAACGTGACCTGCCAGAACTGACGCTACGCTAGATATCTGCTTGTTCCACATTACAAGTCACTTCTCAAGTACTTCTACAAGTACGTACAAGGAGCTTCTCTGTGCTCCAGGAGTTTAGCATTTCATGGCACTACATCTTCAAGGCTGTTGACTCAGAATCCGGCTCTTTCTCCAGTGAAAGGTGTCACTGGCTATGTTTCCATCCAAAGATTCAAATTAAACTTATGCGCAAAACTGGAATATCGCATAAAACATTTGCACATAAAGCACCATTTCCATCCAACGAGTCAAAGAGAACAAAATCGTCACTTCCTGATCTCTAAGAAAACTAGGAGAAGCCACTGAATATAATAATTTTCATATGTAATAAATGACTTGCGCCTCAGAGAGAGCAGACGTAACACAATAAATGCGGTCACTGCTTTCAGAGCTGGATGCTGCTGTTTGGGAACGCAGTCATGTAAGACAGTAATTATACAGAAATACTTTGATGACAGACTTTCCTCAGGCATTTCAGAACGACCAAAACAACATATAGATGCTGTGAACGAGATCGGTCCGCTGGTTAGTGAAGTTATCCCGTCTCATAGCGCAAAGTCACATGACTTTTTCAATGTGCATGGTGGAATTTATTCGGTAAATGTGTTTCCATCGTAGTTTATGCACATTTTTTCTTATCGGATAAAATGTTTATCCTACTCAGTTGTGCGCAGAAGTTTTTATGCGCATTTTTAGAATTTATATGCATCTTGGCATTTCCATCCAGCTTTTTTTATGCGATATTCCAAAATGCGCATAAAAATAGTTGGATAGAAACATAGCTACTGCCGCTGGATTCATCATTCAACCATGTGAAACACAAATATCACTGTCCAAACCTCCTCCAGAGACGGTGGCATTAGTGTCAGTGTGTGATTAATACTCAACAGCACTTGTTGAACCTGAGCTCACACTGAAATCTTATTACTTATGGTTTTGGATCAAGGTGATTGTCCAGATTCTACCATGATTTCTACAGCGACTGGAAGTGTGAGCGCTGTTGTGGGTGAATGAATAGGATCTTCTCAGTTCACAGCATGATAGAGTTTGAGTGCTCTAGTGAGTTTCTGAGGCACAAGATCAATGGCATGAGAAATGAAGGTTAGCTTGACGAGCAATTAATCATTTAAACAGCCTCACAGTCATTGCAGTGCTGGAGAATCACATGTGTTGCGTCCCAACTCACTCACTCATTCACTGCTCCCTGTATAGTCCTGATGTTTTGTCTAATACAGTCTGTTTGTGCAGAGGGATTCAAAATATGAAGATATTTAAAATCACACAAATAACAAACATCCAGGACTGTATTTATTTGTTTGGTTACACTTTATTTCGATAGTCCACTTTAGACATTCTACTAACTATAAGTAACTTTGTAACTACATGTCAACTAATTCTCATTAATTTGCATCTACATGTCTACTAACTCTCAGAGTAGACTGTTAGGGTAGGTTTAGGGTTAGTAGAATAAGTTGACAAAGAAAGAGTTAGCAGATATTAAGCAGACAGTCTACTGATACTCTACTAACTGCTAGTTGACATGTAGTTGCAAAGTTACTTACTGTTAATAGAATGTCTAAAGTGGACTATCGAAATAAAGTGTTACCATTTGTTTTCAGTAGTTTTCCTATAAAGCACAGTCCTATTCAAAGTGGCCAATTTTGTTTTCTATGTAGACATGAAATAAAGTATGTTTGTTTGTTTATTTCTTTCTTAACGCCAATCCAGCATCTATGGCTATATTCATGGTGAGAACCACTTAATCCACACACAAGTCGATCCGTACGTGAATCTTGTCTTTACACACACATCCGGGGACAATTGAGAATGTTTAATTAACCTAACCTGCATGTCTTTGAGAGGGAACCAGACATATCAAATAAAGACTGCAAGAATAAAGCTGGGCACTTTTCTTTACCCTGTATTATTTCCAATAAAGTGTCTTTGAGGACATAAATGTTCACTAGGTGTACGATATGTATCATCTATGATAATATTGTACTTGTTGTTGTAATGATGCCCAAGCTGAGATTATGGAGTGTCACTCACTTTACAAAAAACAAAAACACCTTGAGAGCTTTATCAGCACACTTCATCAGTACAATTGCAAATATGGCATTGATTTTATAAAACAGTTCAATAAACAAGAAAGTAATATTAAGTGGGTTACATTTTAGACACAATATTGTCCATTTTGCTCTGTTCTGCAAATGAAAATAGTTCCAAACAACCCATAACAGAACAGTTTTGTGGCTGTGAGCATTTTGAGCATTTTGTTTCTGAGTGAATCTGCATTTTTGGATGGTTTTGAATCAGTTAAGTGAATAACTCAACGATTCGTTCATAACTCATTAAGGCTGTTACTTGCTGCCACATACTGACAGTTTTAGTTGCATTTTTAATGTATAATTCCATTCCTAAATATTTTTAATATAAAACATTAATTTTACACTTAATTTACATGCATTTTTAAAACATTAAAAATTGCAGTTGCAACTGCAATGTAAATGCATTTTTGCCACATTATGCCGTCTGTGTAAATTCACTAAAAAACACTTCAGATGCAGCTTCTGTCCACTTCTGCAGTGTGAAGATGGATTTTGTTGTACTGATTGATAACAGCCCCACAGTGTTTTATAATGCTACTCAGATGAAAGAATCGGAAAGAATCATGAAACACTGCGTCAGGTTAGAAAAAGCACTTATAAAGCTAAAATGTCCCTTGAAATCCCAGCTGTCAGCAACAGGCCAGAACCAGCTGAGATACCAGCACAAAAACACAATCAGCAAAAAACTGTCTAATTACCGTCATGACAAAATGCTGGAAAATACTGATGTATCATCAATATTGATATATCATCTAATAATCTCTCTGTTTGTGTTTCTACAGTTCTTCATTCTGTTGCTCCTGATATTATTGTTGGAGATTCTGTTCATGATTCTGTTCTTCGCATATCAAGATGAGGTACGTGCAGAATGGATCTGTCTTATTCATTATTTTATATTATTTCATGGATTGTGTTTGGTCATTGGCAGCATTCAGCGCTCACATATTTAATTATAATGACAGAAAAGCTCTTTAATCGGCCTGCTGTCTCAGTGATATCACTCCAGATTTACTTCTCACATAATCAAAATATTCACACCCAAATCAATATTTTATGACCATGTATTTATTTGTTATGTAGCCATCAAGTAAGAGGAGTAATGTATGGTAAGACAGTCATTATCACAAAACATATATAACCCCAAATCCCTATAATTCCCAAAGCTCAGATCCTCTGTGATGGCTGATCAGGTTTGACATCTAATATCTTTGGTGTCTGTGTTCCTCATGACCAAACATCACTGACAACTCATTTCGAGAGCTCCGTCAAAATCATACGGGTTTTAGATGAAGATGTAGATCTTCATGTAAACACTTCAGTCTTTACCTTTCTTGGCAGGTTCACATAGGGATAGCTTTGAGAGCACTTTAAGTTGAGTTATTTATTGGGTTAGTATCATCCAAAATGCCGTTGATTTCTTGGCCGTTCTCAGAGCACATATGGCAGCACAGTGTCATGGGCATTTTCCAGAGACACTTCCAGTGATAGCAGCATATTTCCACCGTGGACCAGTGTACAGTGACAGACTCCACAGCCTCTCATCAGTTACTGTCCTGTCATCAGCACTCACAAAACACACCATCAGTTCCCCTTCCATCAGTCTTTAGGCCAGATTTACTAACAGCTGGCGCCAGCGCAAACCGTCCTTTGGTGTTAAAACAGTACTGTCAGGATTTACTAAAGACGTGCAGTGAAGAATTAGCACTGAAAAGGTGTGGACACAGTTATTTTTGCACCTGACCTTATTGAATAGTGTGTGTGTGTGTGTATATGTATCAGTGATGTGTGTGTGTGTGTATCAGTGATGTGTGTGTGTGTCTGTATCAGTGATGTGTGTGTGTGTGTGTGAGTATCAGTGATGTGTATGTGTGTGTGTGTGTGTATATGTATCAGTGGTGTGTATGTGTGA